CAACAGTCCTGATCATAGCTACCAAATATTCATGAATATTCAGCCTTTTAGTCCTTTAAATGCCAGTTTGGTTCCATGAAGCTACTGTTGCTTTGGTGAAAAATATCTGATATTAAAAAGCAATTAGTTTTTCTTCTTCTTTCGTTATACCAGTGTGGGATTTGTCAGTGATTAGCAGCAACATTAATTCTGATAAATGATTATTTTTGCAAAATGTTGCATCAGAAACGGCAAAAATATCATAAATAATATAATAATAATAATAATAATAATAATAATAATAATATCATTTTCCCACTTTCAGAAAACTTGTTGTTTTATCCGACGTCAGTCCTGATAGTAAAAAGCAAATATTCCTCCATTTTCAGGATTCAACTCTTTAAACACCAGTTTGTTCACATGATGCCTTTGAAACAACACTGTAAGATCCTTTGGTGTAATTTTACTGTAAATTACTGGCTACTCATTGCAGTCCTTTCATAGTGATGTTACAGGAACTTATATACAGAACTCGTATATAGAACTATGTAGGGACTATATATAGAACTATGTAGGGAACTACACAGAGAACTACGAAGATAGATAAGATAAGGTAACAGTTATCTGAAAATTATTTTTTCAGTTATATTTGGAGAACCACTTTAAACTCCAGGGGCCTCATTTATCATCAGTGCGTAGAAAAGGTTCTAAAATCTGTTTTACAAATGAAATTTAGAGTGCGTGTAAGTAAAAACAAATCTGTCTTTATCAAACGTGTACGTGGGTCATATGCACATCAGCATGATTAGGTTCATTTTATCTGCTCTGATTATAGGTATACGGTTTTCTTTTTTATCAGACAATGAGTATGTTTAAGTAGGAGCTGTTTTGACCTTTTCCTACAACCTCCTACTTAAATATACTCTGATAAAAAAGAAACCCGTATACCATACGCACATCAGTAAGTCAATAGTGTTGGTAAATCCCACTTGTTCTGAACCACCGTGCTCATCATGTTGCCTTCAATTAACCACATATGGCAACAACACGCCTCTTTTTAAAGCAAGTGAAGATTTATTTTTTCCTCACCTGTCGTCATCATCGTGGCAAAAAGGGTGAAAAAAGAGGAACTTTTATGAAACTGAGATCGAGGTACTTGTCAGCGAGGTTGAAGCAAACCAGACAATATTGTTTGGTGCATTAATGTTGGGATGAGCAGCGAAAGAAAAAATACTGCAGA